CGGCCGTACATTTTCTTGTCAATGTACAGAAACAGCTACACCATGGGCGTATTGAAATCATGTATATATATATATAACAGCAACTGCGATAGATATATATATATATATAAATTATCCACTGTTGAAGCATCCATACATATCAACACAAACAAATACAACGAGAATATATTATTAAAGTCATGACGTCGTACACCAACCAAGTGACCCAATTTAGATTGACATGTTGTGACATGATATTTTAAAAAAGGAATTATATTTTGAATTCGTGTGATATTAAACACAGAAATACTTTCAAGTAGATTTTTTGGACGAAATAAAAATATCCAAGCAAACCCAACTGTAACATGAAGCCCCATATCAAAACACACTCACGAGTCGACACCACCTCGATATAGGTACATACTCGAAACAAAGAATATTATTACATCATATAAAGAATATTATTACGCCATATATATTGTGGTATATTCGATACGAATTTCGAATCGAATCTCGCCGCTGAATCGAATATATACGAATCGACGCTATTGGCTGATCCAACTTTGAGTGGATTTGATTATTGGCTCTTACAGAAAGGACAAGTATATTCAACCAATCAGAACTCCAACGTGATTCAATATTGTTGATTAGACCAACCGCGCGAATTTTGGAAGTTTATAGCGAATTCACAATATATATATATATATAACCATACCGCAGCATACGATCGGACGACGATATTCGGTCGCAGTGAACTCAAGTGCGTCAGGTACGCCTTGAGGTCGTCCATCCCTTTGATGTCCAAGGGGGGGGTACATGCCAGCCCCAGATGGCGGCACAGTTGCGTCGTCTGGGCGAACGCGTCGGCCGCGCTGTCGAGCTTGGCTTCGCGGGGTGGCATCGTAGACGCCAGCAGCCGACTCATGTGCATGTCAAAGCCCATTGCGTGACCCTGGAAGCATATGTCGGCCGCTTCGAGCCGCTCAGTGGCCATGCGCTGCAGAACGACGTGCGCGGCGTCAAAGGCGGCGGCGGCGGCCTCCAAATCGGGTGATTCCGCCGAGCCCTATGGGCATATTGATAACGTCACCTTGTGTTTCGAACGTGTTGGCAGTTTGTTTATGCTTGAAACAGCATGAATATTTATATGCCGTTGATATCTTCTCCGTGAAATGTATAAAACGTGAATATAATCATATAACTCAAGATAAGCTCGCTCCAGTTAATTCTACAACTCGCTGGACCTTTGAAATATGATATAAAACAAAGTCGAAGAGGTACCCTCGGATTCGGTGGAGCCAATCATAATGCAACGTTCATTCTTTTAAAACCAATCGTACAGCTTTGCTCGAACAATCGTGCTCAAACTTTGCCAATATAGGTTAAAAGGTCACATTTTAGAAATGAACAGAAATTGACAAGAAAGGAGGGGGGGATCGTCGTCGTATATACCAATGCACTCAAGCCAGCGTAGAAATGGCGTCGAAAGGTCAATCGGCAAAGGAACAGCGCCGCAAAGTCCGTGGCTATTCCTGGATCAACATGCAACGCTTCCACGGCGGTCTTCTTCTTGGATTTGCTTCCTTTCACCAACAATTCCAAACGTTTTTCGGCCAAGTCCAGCCAATACACCACCAAATCATCCGATATGCCATCGCCTATGTACATACTAGTTACGATCGATTAGATGGAGTAGCAGGGTGTACCGAGGGCGAGGTCGGAATTGAGCGGACTGAAGTCCTCCTCTTCGTAAATGTCGGCGCGATGGATGGCGTAGCGCTGCACCGTTACGCTCTTGAGTGCCAGCGACAAGTACGCGTTCAAGATGCAGCCCAATGTGTCGGAGACACTGACGGAAGCCGCGTCCAACGGACCTGCGTTGACGAGCGCCGACGACACGCACGGATGAAAGTACAAGCAGGTGAGGAGGCTCTGCGCCATGGGCTGACCGTTCCGCCATGCCGCCTCGCATTGCTCCATGCGATCGAGGGTCGCGAGCAGGTCGGCCGCGCTCGTGAATGTCAATGGGACAAGTCCTGCAAGAAGGGTGATGAGTTGAGGAAAGAGAAGGAAGGACTCGCACCTTTCTCAAGACGTTCAGCGACGGTAAGAATGACTTCGTCCGGTGCAAGCATGCCTGAATCCATCTTTGGATCCATCAACTCCAACGCCGACATGGATTCAAAGTAGTTGAAGTCGGACACGTGCACCAACTGACCAAGGGTCATAGCGTCCGTGGCGCGATGGAACACCTAGGCGTCGGCCGACAGGCATGAGCATGTAAGGGAGTTGGGCAGGAAGGTGTATATGCATGCACCTGTGTCACATCCTCCCACTCTGCCGCATGGAAGTCGGCCACCAGGTCTGCTGCAGCTTCGCCAGCCATGTCTGCTATCACAATCGATGTAGCCACTGGATAAATTATCCGGACCACAGCATCAAAATTCGTGAGGTTTGTGTCGAAATCGCGCAGAAACATTTCATTGGCTAATATCCATGTCACAAGGAATTGGTAGCCAATCAAAACCTTTTACTTATGTATATCTATGACGGCGAAATCATGTAGCCAATCAAAATTGGATTCGAACCATTGTTCTGGAGCAACGACCGACAGTTTCACTACAGGAAGTGCAGTACTAGTACTGTACTACAGTTTCGTTGTACTACGTAGTATTGTGAATTCGCAATAAACTTCCAAAATTCGCCTGGTTTGTCTAATCAATATTAAATCACGCCGGAGTTCTGATTGGTTGAATATACTTGTTTCCTTCCTGTAAGAGCCAATCAAATCCACTCAAAAATGGATTAGCCAATCGCGTCGATTCGTGATTCGATTCGGCGGCGAGATTCGATTCGACGGGGTCTCGAAATTCGTATCGAATCATCCACAATATAGGGAACATATTTAAATACAGGTTAAGTCGACGTGGTAGGCGGGCAGTCTTGAAAGTCGCCAAATATCATCTCGTCCAGCGCCCGACCTGCGCCGACCATGGGGTAGCAGTGCTCGTCCCCGTCGACGATGAACTCGCCGACAATCGGGCCATCCGCCGCCAGAAACTCTACCATTTTGTCCGCCAAGTCGTCTTGGCTGGCGCACCGCAGCCCCTGGCAGTTCATGGCTTGGGCTAGCTTGACAAAGTCTGGGTTCTTCATGATCGTGGAAGAGTATCGCTCGTCGTAAAACAAATCCTGCCACTGCTTGACCATGCCTTGGGCGTTGTTGTTGAGCAAGAGGACCTTAACGCCAATATTGAATTCCGCGGCCGTCGCCAGTTCCATCAACGTCATCGAGAAACTCGCGTCCCCGTCAATATCCACCACCTAACCACACCACATACATACATGAACATTCAAAACACATATATATATATATAATATATATATACCAAATGGTTTGGCTTGGCCACTTTCGCGCCAATCGCGGCGGGGAGTCCAAAGCCCATCGTCCCCAGTCCCCCCGACGACACCAACGACCGCGGCTGCCGCCACCGGTAAAACTGCGCCGCCCACATTTGATGCTGCCCCACGCCCGTGGAAATGATCACGTCATCACGGTGTTTGGTTTGCGTATACAGCTCTTCAATCACCTACATTCACTCTCAAAAACATCTCGACAAACACTCTTGTGTACCCGCTGCGGCTTGAGCGCTCGGTTTGGTCCCGTGTGGTTGCGGTATCGGAACGGATGCGCTTGCTTCCACGCTAATGCATCACATAAATATGTCACATCTCTCAAATGTCTTTTTCTATTTCTCTCAGCCTGCCACGTCATGTTGACGTACCGTTCAATTGCGCGTGCCACTCTGGCCTCGGCTTGGCCTCCAGCTGAGGCAACAGCTGCGCCAAGTTGTACGCAGCGTCCCCCACTACCCCCACGTTGGTCGGAACGATCTTGCCCACCTGTTTGCCGGAAATGTCAAAATGGATGATCCCGCCTTGGCCGAGGCGGCCCGCGCGCCGCGCTTCCGGCGCAAAATCGCGGACGCGGCCGGTGACGCGGTCGTCAAAGCGGGCGCCGATGGCGATGACGCAGTCCGAATCTTGAATCGCATAGTTGGCGTACGCTGAGCCATGCATGCCCAGCATGTGCAAACTCAACGGATGAGTTTCGTCGAACGCGCCCATTCCCTAGAAAAAATAAAACCTCTCAAACTTGATACAACGGGAACTTTGGCATCTACTAAGTACCTGAAACGACGTGGTCACGGGCAAGTTCATCTTGATGGCGAGTTCCCGCAACTGGTCGCTGCAGTGCTGGGTGCCTTGGCCAGCATAAATCACGGGCTTCTTGGACACGTTGATGAGCCGCGCCGCTTCGGCCAAGTTGGCGGCTTGATCCACGCGGTTGCCATGCACTTTGTCTTCGCCATAGTACCCAATCAATTGCGGAGTTGTGGACACGACCGACTGGCAGATACCCGCCGTGATGTCCTTGGGCAAGTCCACGAGTACGGGACCTGGACGTCCCGTGGTCGCAATGTGGAACGCTTCGCGAACGTTCCGTGCGAGGTCGTTCACGTGGCGCACTTGCACATTCCACTTGGTGCACGGCCGCGTGATTCCCAAGATGTCGGCTTCCTGGAACGCGTCCGTGCCGAGCACGGGCGTCGCCACTTGGCCGGAAAACACGATGATCGGCGTGCCGTCCATGAGCGCGTCCTGGAGAGGGGTCACGGTGTTTGTGGCGCCGGGCCCTGACGTCACAAGCACCACGCCCGGCTTGCCGGTGGCCCGCGCGTACCCCTGTGCCATGTGCCCCGCGCCTTGTTCGTGCCGACACAGCACGAACTTGAAGTGCGGCGATTCAAAGATCTCGTCAAACACAGGAAGGATCGCACCGCCGGGGTAGCCGAAGATGGTGTCCACGCCCATCTCGGACATGAGGTTGTGGAAGATCTTGGCGCCGCTGTGGCCAATGTGCTGGTCCGTTTTGGCATGCGTGGGCGGCGCGGTGGCTGCCGCTGCGGCCACTGGCGCAGCCAAATGGCTCTTGGATCGGTGGAAGCTGGAGGTAGCGGAAAAGGCAACACGTCGAAACATGGCGAGAGCTGGAGTGACGTTCGGGCAATTGAAACTGTCCGAGATCTGTCCGCGCTCCACGAGAATATTGCACTGTTGGTGGTGATTTCGCAAACAACGCTTCGCAATCGGATTTGTTCGGATACGAGCCGGATTGTCCGGATAATCTCGCAGAACACTCTTTTGGTGGGCGGCGATTGGTTCGTGGTGGTCACAAATGATGTTGAAGTTGAAAGGTTGGGTTGACCAACTTGAACCATCCATTGTGGCCTAGCTAGCACTGCTGCCAGCTGCCTGCAGTGAACCAAGCCTTGGGCTATGCAGCAGTGCGATACGTGTACGCCGATTGGGTTGACTTCCTAGCGATGTTGATGGAATTAGTAATATTTGTGCTTTACTGTAACGTATGGCTGTCAATAATGATCCTTCTTCCACACCACTTTTGAACCCTTCACAACGCTCACCTAACTAACGTTACGGGACTAATGACTGCACTTCGTTTAACACTACGGCTTGTTATGTCGCTGCTGGGAAATCGGCGACAACTACCACGACTTCCATCGGAGTTTGCACTTGTTGGGAAATTGCCACCAGCACGCCTTGGCCCCGCCACACAGCGCCAGCTCCACATGCGACGGACGTGGGGAGGGGGGTTGTCTGTTTCTGTCTCCTCCACACCATCACGTCCAGCTTGAGGGTGTAGATGGCCTCGTCGTTCACAGGCTCCAACTTCATACCGTGCAAGAGGCGGGAGGGAGAGGGCAACGCCGTCGTCCGGGGCGGTGGCTCCAGCTCGTACCACGGACGCTCACATAGTCCAGTGTCTGGGCCATACGTGTAGCCCCCAAATACGACAAGCGTGGTAGGATCGAGTAAGAAGGTAGCAGGTAGCATCCTCTCGGTGGGGATGCTGCGACCGAGAAAGTGGGCGGACAGGTGAGGCCGCGACCAGATGCCCGCCACCACATCCAGCACAAACATATCTAACCACCTTGAGGCGTCTCCGCGAAGGGGGACGCTGCGAGCTTCCCATCCCCCCAAGACTGCGATTCGGCCAGGCCCGAGCCAGTGCAAAGCGGCCCCAAATCGCGGCGACGGGGGCTGACCCAGCGCCGTGATTGCCCCCCAGCTGCGATATTTGTGATGCCAGTACTGCATGTCTCCGTAGACAGAGTACAGGTCTTTGCCTCCAAACACATACATGGCGTTGGATTCGGTGTCGAACGCCGCACAATGCCAGAAGCGCGGCGGGGGCACTACGTCGTTAGCGTCGCTTTTGACCTGCGACCAGGTCCAGCTAGCCACATGCAAGCAAAACACGTCTTGGAACACCACCGAGTGCTTTCCTCGTCCCCCGAAGACGACTAGGGAGGACGTTGCTGGGACATACACCGCCGAGTGGTCGGCGCGACCCTTGGGGCAAGGACCTGAATTGCGTTGTAGAAATCAGACCTTTGAAGGCAGATGGATTAATTGTACCACTAACGTGGGGGGCGTCCCACAGCTTGGATTCTGGCATGTACGAAAACACGTGATTTGAGTAAAACACGGTGCTTTTGGCGGTCTGGCGTGGCGGCACCAGTGTGCGGGGGTGGAGGAGCGATGGATCGCTGGTGTAGCATCCCCCAAACAGCACAAGCATGTCGCCACATGTGGTTAGGGACGCACCATCTCGGGCGCAGGGCTGAGCTTGCTGAAGTGCGTCGGCTGCTCGGGTGGCCACAGGATGTACGGACACAGCCTTGATATTGCGCAAGGCTGGAAAAATGAGTTGCATGAGGTAGGCATGTCGAGCCTGTAGCGCTGGATCAACCGAGTCGTGGTTGTACTTGGACACAACAACATCATTCGTGGATGTGATATCGTCTTCGCCTTCTGGGTGAGCATAGTCAGAGGATGATGGAGTACAAGCATTGACTGTATCAGGTGGAGGACTTTGATTGGGGTCCGGGGATCGCTCGATGGTGGCTGTTTGGTTATTCCGATGCAAGTTATACTTGTGCTTGCGGTAAGAGTAAATTGAACGAGGGTCAACGCTGCTCTGGATGCGTTCGGCCACGGTCGCCAGGTACCGCGCATGCGCGACTTGGTCAAACCCGTTTCGTTTCATTGGCAATGTAACGTTTACCCTGTATATTATTAGCACACATGACGTTTTATAGGTTAAACTGAGGTAATGATCAAAGGTCTCGCTCGTCTCACAAGTTCGACATGTCATGCTTGCGTATACAAACCTCCATATCATATTTCACAGGTTACTTCGAAGTACATGCGAGGTGACGTCAGACGTGTCATGATGGTTGTTGCCCCACAATTGTTCGAAAAGTGGTCGGATATCCAATGGCATTTTCGCGTGAGCTATGGCCGTCGCTGGTGTTGCGCCACCCGACAACAAGGCCGTGACCAACGTCGTCGTCGCCTTCCTCGAGGTCGTGGCTTCCATCCTGCGCCTTCAACACACCGGCGCGGCGCTGTCGCGGTGTCTGCAAACTGCCGCTGGTACCACAACCAACGAACGACCAGTCCAGTTGATACAACTGACGTGTTGCTTGTAGTTGCAATTGAGAATCCCGTGGTCATCAAGGCCCTCCAGCGCATCCTTCGCGCTGCCGCGTCCGCGTGCGAGTCGGCCACCGTCATCGACTCGGTCGCGTCGTCGCTGGAGGCGGCGTCGACCACGCTCAAGCACGAGCGAAGCAGCGGCACCGTCGACGCTTGTTTGCAGCTCGCGTTGAAATGGTGCACGTTTCTGCTCCAGTGGGTGCATTCGTTCTTGGAGCAGGAGCAGCTGACGGAGTTGCTGGACGCGTTTGCACCGGTGGCATCGAGCGTACGAAACATCGTCCAGTACACCCTGTCGTACCCGCTTGTTGCGTACGTGGCGGGCCAAGTGCACACGCATGCTATAACCCACTTGTCTTCCGAGCGACTGTTCGCCCTTCTTCACTCGTCCCACACGGCGCTGTCGAAAGCTCACGCCATCACGTCCGGTGCGTGGTCGTATGTGGTGCAGAAAACCACGACGCCAGAGCCACCCAACCCCGCCCGCCGCCACGTCCATCACCATCTCCTCAAGCGATGCAACACTTCCCACGCGTTGAATTTCTCCGCGGAAACCATGGAGTACATGCTTTCCACGCATGAAGCAGTGCAAGTGGCTCTGCTGGAGGTGGCGGTGGAACAAGCAAGTCGCGTGCACGAGCTCGAGCTCGAGCTGCTGGAGTCGACGGCATACGCAACCGAGATGGCCGAAGCACTGGCCAAAGGACCAGTGGTGGTCAGACGAAACGGACGCGACAAGAACGTGGAGCGGATCCGAGCGCTAGAAGCCGAGTTAATGGCCACCACTGCGTTCGCCAACGAGCTGGCGGAGGCCATTGCAAGGGGTCCGACCAAGAGATTACCCGTTAACGATCCCTTCCAAGCCGTGATGATCTCGGAAAGTTTCAGCTTGCACGACACATCGCATTAATGTGAGATTCCTATTTATACTTAACATGCACTACTACTGTACTACTTGTACTTGACTGTGAAGTAAGTTTAGCCTTTGGACGAGCAGCGTAATATGCCCCGATCTGCCGTAGCAGAGTAGTACAGTATTATTGCCAGTCAATTGCTCAGAGTACCCCGTTATGAAACGTGGACCTATGCCAGGGGACTTCACTTGCCCAAAAGTCGTGAAAAATTGTTGTACAGTACAGTGGATGACTGCCAAATATCTCGCAAAACAAATTTTCTTCCAGTTGAATCTGAGACATTTTTGAAATAGAACCACGCTCGCATTTTGTGAAGACGAAAAAATCGTCTTCGCAAACATTGCATTTGCGAGCGAACCTCTCGCATCGACACTGTAAAATTTGATATGATCGAAATACATTTTCAAAGGCTTTGGCATCGTGCACAAATTTTCTCGCAATCTCACCGGGTAACGAAGGCAGGTCGAGCCAAGTCGTGGAGTGCCTCGATTGCCACCCATCGACGTCGGTTAAAAAAATACACGTTATCCGGACTCGCAAATTTGTTTGCGAGAGGCACTTGCGAGATTCCGTATTTGGCAGTCATCCAGTGTACCCATCATTATTGACTCTTCTTTCTGTGTAAGCACTTAGCAATAATGCATGGTTGACGGTGCGAGGGGCTTTTTTTTCAATGGGAGGTTTTTTCATCGGAATTTGACCCGCTGATATCGGCAGTACAGTACCGGTATGATTAGTCAACAACAAAAATTAATACTACGTAGTACCACTAACGATAGTATTGTGAATTTTCCCAATTCTGCCCCGAGGAACCTCGCGGCGACATTCATTGGCTATCAAATAATCCGCAGAAAGGACATGGAAAATAGAAAGAATATTTTATCCAATCAGAGACAAGCAAATTGGTAATATCCAAAAATCAAATGTCGAGGTGAGATTCAGCTAATCTTATTGCGCTGTAGTACAACTGTAGTACGAGATTGGAAATTCGAACCTACTACTCTGGTCCACACACAAATGTATCCACTTCTTTTTTGACTCGATTAAAGTATACTACTTAGAAAAGATTACCTTCGTAATATAATATATTTATCATATTATAGAGGTTTATACACCCAAAATGGGTGAAATCGTCAGTTGTCAAGCAGCTAGCTTTAAGCTTACTGAAAGAAGTGTTTTTGTCGAGCCCAGACTCGCTGTACGTGTACACCATCAATATACAACTTGTAGATATATAGGACTGGAACAAGTTACCAAGAGATGGTCAAATTTTACGATATACTGTTGGCACCACAGAGTGTGCAAAGTTCTTCATTCTTTTTTCGTGACGAGCGACAAGTCTACAGGCAAGTCGACAACGTCTGTATGTTTGCAGGGGACTGTTAAATTGATAGACATACACATTAGACACTGAGTGCACATGTATACACACGAATTGAAGGCGTGGTGGGTCGATTTGTGCTTTCGGAAATGACGCGAATCAAATTCTAGGTCATAACTCAGAAATTATATCGAAATTTGATGCCAATCAAGTAGCCAATCAAAGAAGAGAGAATGCTCATCAAATTCCACCAATCAGAAGTAATAGTTCACAGTATTTTATAAATGTCACCATTCTGAAGACATGTCGATACATTTGTATGGACCAGAGTGGTATTAATACTACAGTGTACTATTATTAATAATAGTAACGTTACTTTACATGTTAGTTGATTTGTCAGATCGGAAAATACAAACCGAATATAGACAGGACATGTTACTACCTCCAGCCAGCCGGATTTAAACCTGCCATTTCGAATTTTGTAAAAGTCGGAAATAAACCCGCCACACGAGAGACCCCCATAATATATTAAATAATTATACAATTCAATAAAAATAGCGGTATAATATTAAAAACAGTTTTTTTAATTAAAATAGTGACAGGTCATAATGAAACTCATATAGAATTAATTTTTTATGCAAAACCTACACTCCTTCCTCATCCTCGCAACTGATCTCACAGTCAAGCGAATCCAATGCAGTGAAGATCTCACTCATTTCCAAGTCATTGGCAGTTTGCAGCGACAATTCACGCATGACGCTGTCCAAGTACTTCACCAAGAGTCCACGTTTATAGTAGTCCTTCAACGTGCTTGGAGGGATACCAATGGCATGAGCTACGTACATTAATGTTGTACGTTGAGCAGCAGGAACGGCTCGGATACGTGCGGGTAGATCGGTATACTTTTGCTTTCGACCGACCCTGCCCTTCTTTTGGCTTAAGATGTCCTCGCACACGATTTCACGCATGGGTAGGTCGCCGTCAAGTGATACGTCTGCACGCCTCCAAATCTCGGAGATCGTGTGGCGATTGCGGCCAAAGCTGCGGGCCACATCTTTTATGGCACCGCGTTGAAGTTTGCATGGCTTTTGGACAACGCGCAAGAGGAGGTGGTCCACCACTGCGCGGCGCTGGTCCGATGTGAGATATTTCATGGAAACCGCGCGAATCACAAACGAATTGCCGCTCAATATTGATCATCATTCTGCTTTTTCGGATAGAATTAGTTTTATCCGTACAATTATATCTTGATTTGAGTATGATATTTTGAAATTATATTGCCTAACACAAAATTGCTCATATTTTTATGAATTCAAGCCACTGTGATTCGTCGAATTAAACTGTTTACACTGATATTTTCGGATTTTCGAAATTTGAAAAATTGTTGAAAATATACAGCTTTTTCGCTTATGGCTGGTTTACATCCGGCTGGAGGTAGTAATATAAATGCTTACAAGTTTGACAGGGCATGTCCATCAAAATGACCAGTTTACTGTCCTGTCCTGTCAAAAATCAATTGCTTCTCACCAAGTCCATTCATTTCTCAATTTCCCACTCGTGGAAAACAAAGTATCCGGACCTCCATCCGGATATTTGCGACCTTTGACCCAACGGCTATTTCTCCAACTGCCACATCGACTAGAACAATGGAATCATTTCCAATGGGACTTTTGCTCGGTGGTGTCGAAAGGACCGCGGACAGTAGTCGTGGGACCGCTTCGTCCTACCCCATTGATTTGCTGTCCCGGAAACCCGCGCTACCTGTATGTATCTGTTCTGTTGGCGATGGTTGCAATGACGGGTAAGTACAACAGAATCTCCAAACACTGACAACTTCTATTTGTGGTAGAAAGCCATCATATATCTAGACATGGGCTGCCAACAGCGTCATTGTCCAAATACGCCAATGGTAGTTCGTCGTCGTCGTCATTCACGTCCATGATTTCGATGTTCTCAACACCCATTTATAGGATGGATTCGAGAACATTTGCCGCATTGACGATGTCGTCACTTGCCGAACCGTTGGGATGGTTGTCGTTGCCGTGTTGGTCATGGCCATCGTGGTCATGGCTGTTATGGCCTTCAATGTGCTCGGTCTTTTGAGGGCGAGTTGCTTCGATGATCTTATATTTTGCAAATCCACTGACAATCGTCTTTTTCGATAGGCTGTCCCATGCATCGTTGACCCACTCAACGAGTTCGAAGAGATCGGGCGCTCGCAGCTTGAAGGTACCTTGCGAATCTTCTGAATTGTCGATTTCATTTCAGTGATTGACCACTGACGTCGTAAGTGCACCTTTAGGGGCATCATCCAAGCCACATCCGCAGGTTGACAGATCCAGTTGAATATTCGAGGTATTTTTGCCAGCACTACATTGACCTTGTCCGCATAGGCCACGAAGTCATTAGTGAAGTGTGCACAGAAATCTTTCCAGAGCCAGAGGACTTTCTTGACGTTTTGGCCTTGCCGGTGTCCGAAGTGGTACGTCAAGAACGCAATTCAAATCGTACTCTTCCACCATGCCGTAAGGTTGCCAAAAATGCGGGGAAGGGTGCCGCTCATGCAGTTATTCGATGTCTTGCAACACTTGTCGTCCAAAGCCATTTCGATGGGTAAGAATGTATTGGACGGCTTCTTTAATCTTGGACTCCTGCGACTTTAGGACAACAAACAGAGGGTACTTTGTGCCCTTTGAGTCTGCAAGAACCATTGCGGTCATGCGATCTTTTTCGTGACCAGCGCATTTAATCCAAAGGGTCTTGGAGCCCTTGCAGTTGATTGTTTCATTGGGTAAATACTCGTAATTTATCTCGGTTTGATCAGCGTTGTAAATGTCTTCGAACCCATGTCGTTCAATAATGGCACGAATCGTACGGTTTAATGCGGTGGACGCTATTGTCGCAGCACTTGTTATGAAATCAATCTGGCTGTGCCAATGCAGAATCTTCTTCCATGCTGTTTGGCGAGCGACACCAGTGACTCCTTTGTAGAACGTGTCCAACGTTGATTCCACTGTGTTGTTTTGTAGCCATTTGAGAATATGCAACTTCTTGGCATACGTGGTAAACACTCGTTGATGTTTTTCTAGGCCATTGCGAGGGTTGTTTTTCACACGAGGTCTGCCTGTTGCAAGACGGTGAGATGCTGGTCGCGCAGGCCCCATGACAAGCTTTCGCGCCTTTGCAGAAGTTCAAAACGTTTTCTAAAATCTGATATATACTTCTTTAGAGAGTTATGTATGGATAACTTGTCGAATATGACAATTCTATCCGACATTAGTCTTATTGGTTAAAAGTTCAATACTTCGTACCTTTCATTGGTAGATGACTCTTCATTTTCAATACAAAGACCAAATGTCGTATGTTGGTTTTTTCAAGTCTTTGACGAGGTGAGGACATGAACCATGAGGAGCAGCCTCTGCACGCAATACACGTGGCACACGGCGTGGATCCGGGTGCCACGTGTATTGCGTGCAGAGGCTGCAACATGGATTCGCACCCTAAAGTTGCGTTTGCGGCCTGATCACAGTTCTTGCTGTGTCCTATGAAGGCATGGGGACTGAAATCCTGTCACCTCCAGGGATGTTGCAATGGCTTGCATTTCCAATGAGGAAACTAGAAAGGGTACAGTTAAAGATACCATAATCAAGATACGCGATTCGTTGGAAAAAAGAGCGTGGGGTGATCGACGTGCTCTTGGGTCGCGTCACCAATTTCGAGTTAGTGACGCGACCCCTTCGCTTTAGTGGCCACATCAACGTCAGCGTGCTGCACTGTACTGATCATTCATGAGTTTACCATCGGCAACACGTCATAACTGTGGCACGGCCATTTCGCATGATGACTGCACAGTACATCAACGTGATTACGGAGTCGGGGAAGACTGGTTGGCGAGCTTAAGTGGTGTCGGCTCAGCGATGAATAGCCCCGAGTGATGTATAGTTTCACTGACAAGGTCGATAAGTATGTCGTATGTACTGTCCATCATAACTCCGATTGTGCGACTTTGTGATTCAGTGAAGTTGTTACTAAAGAGGTTGTTGAACGCAACCACCTAACACAAACTGCTTCGTGCCCCAGTCCAGTGGCCCTGGCAACACCGCGTTCCTATGGATTTACAGAGATGAACATGCCATGTGGGTCGGTGGACGATCGTGCGGCCTCTCTAATGATGTTGTTTATGGATGTACATCATCCATACACCAAGCACAGCAGCTACTTCTCTGTACTCGTACTAGCAAAACTCGTCACTATGTTTGTCGAGCCCTGCTCGACTTATTCTGTTCTTGGGATGCTGTGTCGAGGTCATGGTTGTTGTGTCAAAGTCTTGGTGATTGTTCCGGCGTATGTCGATACGACTGTGTTTTCAGCCAATAGCAAGCTGTATATGTTCAATGTGAGCGATATGTTGCTCACACGACAACCACATCGCCCATTCGGATTGTCTAAAAAATAACTGACCAATGTATCGATTGTCTTCAGAATGGTGACATTTATAAAATACTGTGAACTATTACTTCTGATTGGTGGAATTTGATGAGCATTCTCTCTTCTTTGATTGGCTACTTGATTGGCATCAAATTTCGATATAATTTCTGAGTTATGACCTAGAATTTGATTCGCGTCATTTCCGAAAGCACAAATCGACCCACCACGCCTTCAATTCGTGTGTATACATGTGCACTCAGTGTCTAATGTGTATGTCTATCAATTTAACAGTCCCCTGCAAACATACAGACGTTGTCGACTTGCCTGTAGACTTGTCGCTCGTCACGAAAAAAGAATGAAGAACTTTGCACACTCTGTGGTGCCAACAGTATATCGTAAAATTTGACCATCTCTTGGTAACTTGTTCCAGTCCTATATATCTACAAGTTGTATATTGATGGTGTACACGTACAGCGAGTCTGGGCTCGACAAAAACACTTCTTTCAGTAAGCTTAAAGCTAGCTGCTTGACAACTGACGATTTCACCCATTTTGGGTGTATAAACCTCTATAATATGATAAATATATTATATTACGAAGGTAATCTTTTCTAAGTAGTATACTTTAATCGAGTCAAAAAAGAAGTGGATACATTTGTGTGTGGACCCGAGTAGTAGGTTCGAATTTCCAATCTCGTACTACAGTTGTACTACAGCGCAATAAGATTAGCTGAATCTCACCTCGACATTTGATTTTTGGATATTACCAATTTTCTTGTCTCTGATTGGATAAAATATTCTTTCTATTTTCCATGTCCTTTCTGCGGATTATTTGATAGCCAATGAATGTCGCCGCGAGGTTGCTCGGGGCAGAATTGGGAAAATTCACAATACTATCGTTAGTGGTACTACGTAGTATTAATTTTTGTTGTTGACTAATCATACCGGTACTGTACTGCCGATATCAGCGGGTCAAATTCCGATGAAAAAACCTCCCATTTAAAAAAAAGCCCCTCGCACCGTCAACCATGCATTATTGCTAAGTGCTTACACAGAAAGAAGAGTCAATAATGATGGGTACACTGGATGACTGCCAAATACGGAATCTCGCAAGTGCCTCTCGCAAACAAATTTGCGAGTCCGGATAACGTGTATTTTTTTAACCGACGTCGATGGGTGGCAATCGAGGCACTCCACGTGGGTGGCAATCGAGGCACTCCACGACTTGGCTCGACCTGCCTTCGTTACCCGGTGAGATTGCGAGAAAATTTGTGCACGATGCCAAATCCTTTGAAAATGTATTTCGATCATATCAAATTTTACAG